AATTGGAAAAAGCGTTAAAAAATGAGATAAAATGTCCAGTCCTTTAACTCAGCAATTTCAATAGAGATTTCAACACATCTGCAATACAAATTTATATTTATATATGTATATTTATTATATATTTATTATTATATTTATAATATATCCCAAGGAGGTCACACAGAAACCAAGGTTCAATATAAAACAGAATATTCACAGTGGTCCTTTTCCCCATCAACTGCAGGAATGGCTTAACCAAGTATGATATATACATGTAATGGAAGATTAATTAGGTATAAGAAATGACTTATGAAGAATTGAGGGAAACATTGAAAGCTTGTATGAATTCATGCAGAGAATACAGAATACAAAAGGACAATATACACAATGACTACAAATGCAAAAATCACTAAACAAAGGCAAACAGGCAAATACTGAGTAACTTAAAAACTAATAATAGTCCTGGAAAATATATAATGAAGTATAATTTTTGCTTTGCTATCAATGTTAGTTTATTGCAAAACAGGTGCTTAGAAAGCTATAGCAAAATGAGGCATGTGGGCATCTCCTATTGCAGTGCTCATGGTAAATATTTGCAAAAAGACCACCAAGAAAATAAAAGCAGTTTTTGTGCCAACGTTTGTTGTAGAGGATGTTAGGGAAATTCCATGAAGAATTTGATAAGATCCTTTAAATTAAATCAATACATATATTTTTAAAGTTCGTACCCTGGGCAAGACACTTAACCTTTTTGTGGCCTAGGCAACCCTCTATAACTGTAAATTATTGTATTACATATTTGTATTATATAATTGTAGTAGCCTGCATAAGTGAAAGAAGTTCCTCACTAGGAAGTCCTGATGAAATCATAGGTCTGATAAAGAAAAATTTTCACAGCTATCTTTTGTTTTTACGTCACATTGATTTCCAAATATATCATTCCTCTAACCTACCCAGAGAACAATACTTTGTAACAGAAACAAAAAAAGAAAAAAGTAGCAGCAGTTCAGCAAAAACACTACCTTCTAGATTCCTCCATCAAGGTGTTTCCCTTACATATGCCAACATTTTATCAGAGAGAGAATCTTGTTCAATGATTCTTTGATCATTACTATCAGGTAACCCACAAAAGAGAGTAAATGTAGATTCACAAAAGGTGTTCTCCATTACCATGGAGGGAATTCAAGGTAGAGTACAAGCTAAAGAATGATTCCTTACAAATGATGAGGTTGTTTAGATGTTCTTTGTAGATGACATTGTGCAGATACTACCAAGCCTTGAAACACTGTAAAGCTACCAAATGAGATCTTCAAGAGTTTGGCCTAACTATTCACAAAGGAAAAGCTAAGTGGATAAAGAATACCTATTGTCTAGAATTATAGCTCCAGCAGAGCCATGATAGTGGCATAAAAGCAGTGACTTGCTTGAATTCTCCCCCAAAGCCCTCCAAATAGCTGTAAAATGGCTCTAAACAAATTCTGGAACAGCAGAACCCACAAAAAGACAGAATGAAAGAAATTTCCAGCCCAAGGCAACCTGGATGGTTGATTGGAAAGGTCTATTGCACCAGGCTAGGAAAGGAACGCAGTTCAACATGGGCACGCACGCAAAGACCAGACCTCAGCAAACCTGAAGCAGGCCTGAAGACTGAATCACAGGCAGCTGTGGTGGATTTCAGACTTCTCAACACATAAATGCCAAAGACAACTTAGAAGGTCAGTAGGAAAGGTCTGTGACTGTGGTGAGAGAGAAGCCTGGTCCCAGTGCAGTGCAAGGGTGGTGGCTGCTTCTGGAGCTCTCAGCCCACAGACTAAGGGGGAATCGAGTGACTGATCAGAGGGGGATTGCAGGGATATCTCTGCTGGTGCTGAGGCAGGAGTCTCTTGTTTTGCCCATGCCTAGATCCGGGTCACAGTTCTGGCTGGTGGTCCTGAGGCGAGGAGGAGCACTGGCATGGTGGAGCTTGGTGGAGAAGGAATCCTCCTCACAGTTCCAAGGCAGAAAAGAGTGCTTGTGGTCACTCACAGACCACAGTACAGGCCAGGAAAGGAGTAAACACCTCGCCCTTGATTGCACCACCTTCAGAGAACTGAAAATTTACAGATCCCTAGAAGTATCTCTGAAAACAGCTGCACAAAACCCCTAAAGCTTGGGACAGTACATTCTCCACACTGGAAACAGACCCCTACCTTAACAAAGAGTTTATAACTCAAGTAATTGGCTGGGATCACGAGCAAGCAGCGCAAAAAGAGTCAGACTATATTATCTTACTTTGGTGACAAAGATCAAAACACACAACCAGAAGAAGACATTGAAGCCAAAGCTCCTACATCCAAAACCTCCAAAAAAAATATGAATTGGTCCCAGGCCATGGAAGAGCTCAAAAAGAATTTTGAGAAGCAAGTAAGCGAAGTAGAGCAAAAACTGGGAAGAGAAATGAGAGCGATGCAAGAAAACCATGAAAAACAAGTCAACAGCTTGCTAAAGGAGATCCTAAAAAATACTGAAGAAAATAACACCTTAAAAAATAGCCTAACCCAAAGGGCAAAAGAGGTCCAAAGGCCAATGAGAAGAATGCTCTAAAAAGCAAAATTGGCCAATGGAAAAGGAAGTCCAAAAGTTTACTGAAGAAAATACTTCCTTAAAAATTAGAATAGAGCAATTAGAAGCTAGTGACTTTATGAGAAATCAAGACACTGTAAAACAAATCCAAAAGAATGAAAAATGAGAAAACAATGTGAAACATCTCATTGGAAAAACAACTGATGTGGAAAATAGATTCAGGAGAGATAATTAAAAAATTATTGGACTATCTGAAAGCCATGATCAAAAAAAGAGCCTAGACATCATCTTTCAAGAAATTATCAGGAAAACTGTCCTGATATTGTAGAACCAGAGAGTAAAATAGAAATGGAAAGACTCCATCGATTGCTAAAAGAGCTCCCCAAAGGAAAACTCCTAGGAATATTGTAGCCAAATTCCAGAGTTCCCAGGTCAAGGAGAAAATATTACAAGCAGCCAGAAAGAAACAATTCAAGTATTGTGGAAACACAATCAGGCTAACACAAGATTTAGCAGCTTCTACATTAAAGGATCAGAGGGCTTGGAATATAATATTCTGGAGGGCAAAGGAGATATAATTACAGTCAAGAATCACCTACCCAGCAAACCTGAGTATAAACCTTCAGGGGAAAAAAATTAACATTCAGTGAAATAGAGGACTTTAAAGCATTCTTGATGAAAAGACCAGAGCAGAATAGAAAATCTGACTTTCAAATACAAAACTCAAGAGAAACATGAAGAGGTAAACAGGAAAGAGAAATCATAAGGGACTTATTAAGGTTGAACTGTTTACATTCCTACATGGAAAGATGACATTTATAACTCATGAGACCTTTGTCAGTATTAGGGTAGATGGAGGGAAAAAAAAGTGTATGTACAGAGAGATAGAGGACACAGGGTGAGTTGAAGAGGTAATATCTGGAGAATAAAATTCAGGTGTGAGAGAGGACGATACTGGGAGAAGGACAAAGGGAGAGGTAGAATGGGGTAAATTATTTCACATAAAACAGATAAGAAAAGGCTTTAACAGTGGAGGGGAAGTGGGGGAAGGTGAGAGGGAATGAGTGAATCTTATTCTCATTGGATTTGGCTTAAGGAGGGAGTACCATACACACTCAATTGGGTATGGAAATCTATCTTACCCTACAGGAAAATAGAGGGGAAGGGCATAAGAGAGAGGAAGAGGATAGAAGGGAGGACAGACTGGGGGAGGGGGTAATCAAAAGCAAACCCTTTTGAGGAGGGACAGAGTCAAAGGAGAGAGTAGAATAAATGAAGGGTGAGATAGGATGAAGAGAAATAGTTAGCTATTATGGAAGTGTTTTGCATGACTACATATGTATAGCCTGTATTGAGTTGCTTACCTTCTCAATGCGGGTGGGTAGGGAGGGAGGAAAGGAGAAAATTTAGAACCCAAAGTTTTAAAAACAAATGTTAAAAAATTGTTTTTTCATGCAACTGGGAAATAAGATATATAGGCAATGGGGTATAGAAATCTATCCTGCCCTACAGGAAAATAGAAGGGGATGAGGATAAGGCGGGGGGGACAGAAGGGAGGGCAAATTAGGGAAAGGGGTATTCAGAATGCACACTGTCTTGGGGCGGGGGGGAAGGACAAGATGAGGAGAAAACCTGGAACTCAAAATCTTGTGGAAGTGAATGTTGAAAACTAAAAATAAATAAATTAATAAATAAAAATATATAGAAAATTATAGTATGTTGTAAAATGGACAACTTATACAGCTCACCCATGTACATGTAAATGTATGCTATACTGTAAGATGGACAACCTACAGCTCAACTGTGAGGAGTGTGTGTGTGTAATATATCTAACAATGTAGGACAATGTTCTGCAAATTGATAATGAATAAAACCCAGAACTGAACAGAAGAAGGAATACTGGAATTGCTTTTGGGAATTAGCAAAGTTCTTTTAATGGCCCCTGCTTTTCCCTAAAACAAAGGCGCATATTTTTCATGCCAATGTTATTCCATGTTACTCTGGTGATCTCATAATAATGCCATGAATCATGAATTACTGAAGTCTCTGGCAAGGTGAATATAATTCAAAGTGTAATGAAGGGGTACATGATAAGCATGAACAGGTTGCAACACATCAAAAATAGGAAATCATATGGGGAAGTAGTAAAAAGGATGTCAAAGAAATCTATGATTAAAAAAGAAGAGGGACTGGTCACTTGGTAAGAAAAAGGAATAACCAATGGACAGCACATATCTGCACTACTGTACCCTTGAAATATCAAGGGGATTCAAGGAAGGCACCTCCTGTGTTGGGTGGATTCTCTGTGTTGAACTTATGGGAGGACACAGACAAGATAGGATGGGCAAGGTTGGGTGGGCTGCAATCTGCACTGCTACAGGAAACGCCCACATTAATGAGATCACAGATCTACTGGAGTACTGGAGATATTCTTTTAGTGCAGTTAATAAGTTGCTTACTCTGTTTTCATGTAGTTAAGTTCTTCATTCTCCCAGTGAACCAGTGCCATTTCATAAGGCTGAACTTCATGTTTTTCCAAAATTTGCATCACATGGTTCATCTAGAGGAAAATAAAAATCAATCCCAAAAAGAGATGATTTAAAACAAGAGTATTCTATGATGCTAATATCTGAATTTTTTTCATAATACTTGTTAACTTTTTTTGGCTGCTTAAGTTTGTTTTTAAAGTTATAGTTCAATTATTATAGTAATAATTAATTTTGATCTTGATGTTGGCAAGGTATAGTTTACAATGTTTAAATTTTTAAAAATCTCTTGTAAAGTAATGTTTAGTTTGGCCTATTCTCAATGAACAATGCATAAATTATCTGCTTTGCAGATTATTCATTGCAAATGTTTAATCACAAGCAGGCTTTTGCTTGCAACTTACTCTCCCATCATTTACTATAACAACTCTACATAAATTATCTTATTTGAACCTTGAAACAACCATATGTGGTAGGAATCACTGGTATTTTAATCTTCATGTTACACAGGAAATTGAGGTTCTAAGAGTTTGTGACTTAAACCATAAATAAGTTAACTAGCTGATTAAATCATTAGTAGGTGTCAGAGGTACATTAAAATCCTAGATCTCTCCTAACTTCAAGTCCAGGTCTTTCTACTATATTAAGCTGCTTCATAAAATACACAGAATCAAACATTTAAAGCTAGAAGAGACCATCAAGCCAAATTCTCTCATTTTACAATTAAAGAAACCTAGGCACACAGAGGTTAAATGACTTGCCCAGTTCATACACACACTAAGTATCTGAAAAGGAATTTGAACTCAAGTCTTCGTAAGTCTAATACTCTCTCCAACATACCATGTTGCCTCTGGTTTCACATAAAAGAAAACATAATTAGGAAGACAAATCTGCTCAGGAAAGTAATGTAACAAAGAATAAATAGAAATACTGTTTAGATGTATCTGCTGCTTTTAGATTATTTGCACCACTGCTCTCATCCATTACAACAAATAATTAAGAGCTATGTAAAAACTTTTAAAATGTGTTCCTAGAAGCTTCTAAGTTTTCAAATTTATTTTCATACTTACAGTTTTATTCTCCACATTCCAAAATACAACAGCTCCTTCCCTGTATAAAACAAATGAAAGAATCCATTCAGTTTATGAGTCATACTATTTTATTTAATACAGAAAAACATGTTTACAGAAATCCTGGAATATTTCCAGATTTAAGTATTATTAAAATTAATAAACTTTTAAAAAACTCATGTCAAACTTTGTTTTCTATCTGGAATAGTTAAAATAAAAACCATTTTTCATTTAAGTGTTTTTTTACTTTGTCAGGGGAAGGTGATGGATGTTTTTGTCCAATACAGATCAAAGGGACAAAATTTTAAAAAGGTCAAATCAAAATTATTTATTTTTTATGATGTTTTTTAAACAAAGGTCATTTTTTTCTAAGATCACTGATTTTACAGTACTTTCTTAAGGCCCAAGTAATTGTTACTCTACTACTCTTTTGAATACTTACATCAGCTGAGACTTGGTATAATCAGGATATATAAAAATCTAGAGAGTCCAGAGACACTTTTTAGTTTCCTTCTTCAGCACTAACCATAGAATCTCTCTAGTTCCCAAGCAACAAGAAAGGAACTCCAGGAGAAAATGTTCTGAAGGCAAAATGACTGAAATAAGCAGAGGTCCAGAGAGGTGTGGTGTATAGATGAAGTTGTGCCACACTGAAAATCCTCAAAAGAGAATTGTGATGACGTCTTAAACTGTTCAAAGTTGTGTAAGACTTTGCCAAAATGTAAAGCCTATATATAGCCATGAGTGAATTTGCCTAATTTAATGCTTATGAAAAGGATCAACATTAGTCTGGAAGTTGCTGAATGAAGTCTCTTGGATGGAATCCAGTTCATCAGGCCTCTAAAGAGCTGGAAAGTAATAATTCAGGAGACCTGAGGAAATGGGCCATGAAATTACAAGAGAAATTGTGAGAGTGGGGAAAAGATAATTAGTCAATAACGACAATAACCACTATGGAGAACTTGGCCAGTGATACGCTAACATTAGAACATAAAGCTGTTATAGATGTATCCTATTAAATATATCCAATACAGGAAAAATTTAGATTAAAAAAGGCAAATTGGGTAATGATTATTTACTTATTGAAAAGAATCTTACAAAAGGATGCCATCCCGGATTCTTCTAAATAATAAGTTCCTAGCACATCTGACAGATTATCTGGAATAGGTTTTGGTTTTTGCATTACCTGAAGAAAAAGATTGTTCCAGGATCATGTTCTTTTTCAGAATTTTTTACACCAATCACTAAAATATTTGCCGCATCTATAAATTAAAGTAAATGGAAAATCTATGTAAAAAAGATAATATTCTTCTCTCCCAAATCAGCTGTTCTGAAAACTAACTGTGTTGAAATTCTTAAGGCCACTGCTCCAAAATAAGTATTATATGACATAACTGTCTACCAAGGTTTCTCAAAAAAGAGATTAACATCAGAAGTGAGAAAAGGATAAGAAAAGATTTACTATATAACAGCAATACTTGGCACTGTTTAAAATTGTCCAGTTAAAGCTAATTTTGATTCTACAATTTGCTCCGTTTAGTAACTATTGAAATTGTACTAGTTCCTATGATCCATGCATTAAGCTACCTCAAAATAAGTACAGAAAAAAATCTTAAAAGAATGCTTATTTCTTAACATATTTTGCTAACAACACAGTTTCAATAATAATGATGATGATGATGATGATAACAGCTACCATTTATATAGCACTTACTGTGCTAAATGCTTTACAATGATTATATTATTTGATCCTCATAACAATCCTGGAAGGTAGGTACTATTATTATCCCCGTATTACAAGTGAAGAAATAGAGGCAAACAGAGGTTAAGTGACTTGCCCAGACTCACACAACTAGCAGAGTCTTCTCTGACTCTAGACCCAGCACTCTATCTACTGTACCACCAAGCTTGGATATTTTAAAATAAGACTATGAGGTCTACAGAGGAAATACATAAAGATAAGGAAACAAGGATATTGAGAATTTTGGAATGAATATAACCTTAAAAGTTCTCCATGAGAACTACTACTCTATTCAATCAAAATAAATAAATCAGAACAAGACCTTCTAATTTTAAAAATTCTCCCCTCCAACCTTCCACCAAATTGTCCTGTGAGAAACCAAATCCTAAACTTTCATTCTTTTTGAACTACAGTCGCCTTAAATGACTGTAGATGTGGGCGACTTAATTAGCATGGCCAAGGGTGACAATCAGGGGCAAGATGATTTCAATAAAGCTCCCCAGAGAGTTGAGATGATGGTTTGTTTAGAGCCCAGGTACTAGACTGCCTGTAACTTTGGACACGAAGAAAATGATGCAGCTGAAACACAATGTCAGTATAGTGGTTGCCATTGTAGCTCTCAAGTGAAGAGGTTCTGGACACAGCTTTGTCACTCTAGCTGAGCTATGTCTGTCTTAGCAACCAAGCAGTAGAGTAGGTATTCTCATTCATAGGGTTGTCAAAATACAGTGGAGTGTGTGTGCTCTAGTGTGGTGCTCTCTACATTGGGGTTAAGGGATAGCTAGACACAATTGCTTTGTAAAGTATCCTCTAATCACAGTCTTCTAGACTATGTTTTTATTCAAATAACGTTCCCTGAGAGGATCCTACTTGGGACCATCCTAAAAATTGTGACTAAAATGCGACTACCACCACCTCTTTTTGGAGGAATCTTTCCTCTTTTTTTAGACTTTAAAAGAATCTGTTTGGTTACTCCAGCATGAATTTTAGTTTTTAAGTATTTGAATGTATAAACTATGAACAATTTACTCCAAAAGTTCTTATTATTCAGCATCCCTATGACTAGTAATTTTGTAGCAATATACTTTTAAATTTGACAAATATAAGAGGAAACGGACATTCCGCCTTCAATGTACCTAATAATGTAAAAAAAAAATTTACTATTTCTGCCTATGACAATTGACTTATATCACTTGTGTAAAGTGACTTTAATTGACTGTGGATACCAAATGTGGATATGACAATTCTTCAAATAAATAAGACATAGACAACTGTTTTTTTGAAACAAATTCTACTTCTAATACATTTTTAACATATCTGGCTTTTATATTAAAAATATACCTCTAGGCAAGTTGGTTATTTCCATGAATCCATGAGATCCCAGTTCATGGGACAGATTACCAAGATGATATTCATCTGCTGTTGCAAAGGCTGTGCAGTGCATCAGGTCCTGTACCAAGCAGAGCAACACAACCTAGGTTACTAAAAGGTTCAAGTCACTACAATTTATCACTTTATAAGTCTGGATTTGCAAAACTAGAACACAAGATAGACAGAGTTTTTGAAAATAAACAATCCAAAGAGAAGGTATACTTTAAAGATATTTTATAGTTGTAACTACATTTATTACAGGATATTTCAACTTTAAAGCAGTAAAAGTCAGCCCAGGATTCCAGTTTGACTAATATGAAACTGACAATTCCTTGTCCTGGAAAGTGACATTCTTGTTGATAAGATTCTGTCTTCCACCAGGTCCTAGTACAACCTATTTTTATATAAGGTGGTTGAAAAGGTGGGTAAAAAAACTCATCATTTCTAAACATTTTCAGATCCCCATGACTTTGTGGCCCATTCTACTTTTAGAAAATTCAAACTGTTGTGAAGTTTTCCTTCCATGAATCCTTCAACCTGCTGCTCCAAGTTCTGCCTTCTGGACCCAGGTGAAGAAATTGAATCCCTCTTCCACATGATCCTCTCCAGATACTTGAAGAGCTCTCCCATATTGCCCATTAAGTCATTTCTTCTCCAAGATAAATATCCAAAGTTCCTTAACCAATTCTCTTATATTATGATCTCAGCGCCCCACACCTCCCTGGTTACTTTCCACTTTTGTCAATGTCATTCTTCCAATGACTTATAAAAAACTCCAAATGTGTCTGACCATGGCAGAATATACCAGGTCTATCATCTCTCTTAATCTGTATATTACACCTTTCTTAATGTAATCTAAGATCATATTGGTGTTTAGCTGCCATGTTGAGTCATATTGTATTTGTATTCCATTAAAACCAATCGATATTTTTAGCATGATTGGTGTCCAGCCATGTCCCTCTAATCCTATGAGATTATTTTAAACCCAAGTGTAAGGTTAAGTCAAAAGCATTATTAAACATCCTCTTAGATTTGGCCTACCATTTTGGTTTGAGATGATTTGGCTTCCTGATTTTGCCATCCAAAATGTTAGTTATCCTTCCTAAACTGATGTTACCAGCAAATCTGATAAGCTTGATATCTATATCCTAAGACATTGTTAAAAAAAATATTCAATACCACAGGGCCACATATCCTACAGGCACTCCAGTAGGGGTCCTTAAAGCTGATATCAACTCAGGACTATTCTAGTCATTCAACCAATCCTGAATTAATACTATCATCAAGCCAAACTTTATATTTAATATATATTTATATTTAACAGAATTTCAGAATTGAAACTAAGTGACTACTATCTAGTCTAAACCATAACTGAACGATTTCTGCAACATACCAAACTGTCTGAATTCTTCCAGTATAGGACAATCCATTCCCTCCCATTGTACTTTTGCAAAACATGACTTAAAATCCTTTAGTTTGCCATTTAATACCCTCCCCTCTAGCTCTGACCTTATCCTCCAGTCTTATTTTACATTACTCCCCTTCAAGCACCCTAGGTTAAAGCCAAACTGTACTGTTAATTATTCCCTAATGATGCCAGGCCATCTCATATTTCTGTGACTCATAGAAGCTTTCTCCCATTCCTGGGAAGCATTTTCATCTTGGCCTTTCAGAATCTTTATTTTCCTTCAGAAGGCTCATCTTAGGTGCTAACTCCTTCATGATGCTCTCTAAATTCCCATAATCATCAGTGCTTTTTCCCTCCTCAAACTGCTACTGCAATCATATTAGCTATTATTATATAAGGCTTTAAGGTTTGCAAAGCACTTTGTAACCATTATCTCATTTTATCCTCACAACAGACCTTGGGAACTAGGTGCTATTATTATCCTCATCTTACAGATAAGGAAACTGAGGCAGAGAGAGGTTAAGTGATTTGTCCACGGCCACACAGCTAGCGTCTGAGGCTAAACCTGAACTCTGGTCTTCCTGACAAGTGTATCAACTTGCTTATATGTAAAAATATCTTTAGATCTTTCCTTTACCCTTTTCATTTCTTATGCTATATTATACTTATCTAAACCATGCTGTGTTCTCCCAATGGGATATAAACTTCTTGAGAGCAAGGCTTATTTTAATTTTTATATTCCCAGCACATGTATAATGCCCTGCATGTAGTATGCACTTAATATTTGTTGAATTGAATTAAGGCAAGTCAAAAATGTATCAGTAGCGTGACTTTTAAATTTTTGTTTTTTGACCTATCATTTTTCTTTAATCCTCTTTGCACCCAGCTAACCCAAACCCCAAAAAGCAAAGAGAAATATTTGAGAAAAAGCAACCTGTCACATTCTGAATTTATAGTGCCCACTCTTCACAATCTGTTTTCCCACTAGGAAGGAAGAGTGTTTCCTCATCAAGTTTTCTGGACCAAGATTTGTCACTACAATTAATCAGAATGCATTAACTCTACTTTTGGCAAGTACAGAACCAAGAGGAAATTTCAATTCTTGAGATGCCAAATCAGTTATTTAGCCAATGAATATTTAGGTGCCTACTCTGAGTTAGGCACTGTACTAAGTGCTTCATATGGAATATCTCATTTGATTTTGCAACTGTGAGAAATAAATATTTCTCCCATATTTAATAACTGCTCATTGTGTTTGCTCAGACAGGTCCTGGAAATGTTGATTCTCCTTATTATCAAGACAGGTAATACAGAAATTGATGTTTCTTTGACCAAGATTGGAGTGACATAAGTCACATACCCCAACATAGTCCACCTCCCATTTGATTAACAAATCAAGAGTTGAAAGGCATCTCTTGGGAAGACCTCCTCTTTGAAGGGCATATAAACTGTGATCCCACTGCTATTAAGGGTCTTTGGTCTATGAGAGACAGACAAATGAACATCCTTTTATTAATAACATGCTGGCCTTATTAACAAAATAATTAAATTACCCAGAAAATGTTTCTCAAACCTTTTAAAATGTCACACAACAATCCTGGTAGATAGGGTCTATTATTATCCCCATTTTAAGGTTAAGGAAACTGAAGCTCAAAGCAGTTGAGCAAGTTGCCCTAGATCACACAGTTAGTAAGTATCTGAGAATGGACTTGAACTCAGGTCTTCCTGACTCTAGTTCCAGTTCTCTGCCCAATGAGTCATATAGCTGCCATATCCTAGTCATAAGACCTAATCTATAAAGTCACACACACATGAGGCTTAAATTTGTCTTCCTGCATTAGGGTCACTACTTCCCCTATTGAATATATTTTGTGGATGGTGATCAGAAGCCATTTTTAAAAATTATTGTATTTATTCTTAGATATTGTCTCCTATGGATTATTAATCCTCTCCACTGCTGTTTTTCTTCCTATGCTGTACTCTCTACTGTAAGGTGTCTAACTATATTCAGATACCTTTGTCCTTTCCTCTTTGGTTTAAAGAAGTCTTGTTCAGCTTTGCAAGCCTGCCAGCAAATATTTTTTAGGCCCTTTTTAGGTATACTGTATAACTGATCAAGAACTGGCATGACTTTATATTAAGGTATGGTCCAGAAGTACAGATACCTTCTTTTTAGCTAGGTGTTCACTTCCTAAATCCAACTCTTTTCTGAGGCCCTTACATTTAAATGCTAGCAGTAAAAAGAACCCCATGTGTACACCTGAAATCAATTTCCTCCCCAGGCCTTCATAGGTCTCAGTAATGACTTTTAGATTCCTTCTGGCAGTACCACCAAGAATAGTGGCATTAGGTTTAATAAGTCTCAGGAGGCTTTATTTTTTTTGTCATATCCCAAGCACACGCACTAGGAAAGTAACAGAGGTCTCTGATCTATGTCTAGCTGACAAATAACTACATTGGTACACCTGAGGCAGGAATGACACATATACACAAGGGTCTCATTTTGTTCACTGATCCAAATCTTCCCTTGTTACAGGACAAGGTTCTGTTTTATACTTAGAGAATATAGTTTCTCCCTAAGATTAATCCCATACCTTAGCACCAAATGATATTCTCCTACTCTTCCACCCTATGGACATCTGATAGAGCTTAGGATTTCTCTCTGCCTCTTCAGGTACTGTTGCTTCCTTGTTTCTACCTGCACACTGTGAATGCAGAGCTGTTACTGAGCACTGGCAGAATTGCAACTTCTAAAGGGTTAAACACACAAACTCACAGGTATAATACTAGACTGTACAAGAACAGAGAATAAAAAAGGTTGGTGGGAGTGAAATACAAAGGGCTTTACTGGGAGTATGAGATAATGTTTGTAAAGCATTCAGCACTGTGACTAGCATGTAGTAGATACTTAATAAATACTTTATCCCTTTTCTCTCTCCCTCATTCAGTGATGGAGCTGGGAGTGTCCTGTATTTAATATTGTTCCCCTTATGATCTTGCAGGAATGAGAGGACCTGGATAAGACTATGACATGTAGGTCCTAATTTCTGGTGCTAAGCAGATCTGAGGAAGGTATACTATGTCTGCTATATCCAATGTTTAATTTACTCTATACTTGCAATGGACCAGTGGCCTGAAGGGTTATTTCTGAGCAAGACATTAACATAACTAGTCTATCATCAATAGAAGATAAGGAGATTCCCAAAGTTTAAGTCCCACCTTCACAGGACGATTAAGTTTGAGAAATACTTCCTAAGTCATCATTATATGCAAGGTGTTGTTAAAACAAAGATCAATATTAAAGTCCCTACCCTAAAGGAGCTTATATTTGCCTGGGGCAATACAAAATGAATACAGAGAAGTATTATACAGGAAAGGGAATGAAGGTGACAAAGAAGAGATGAGGTTCAGTAGTCATCGTTATTAGAACTAAATGAGATACTCATAGTCCATCTAACAGTTAAATAATGGAGAGTCAACCAGAATACTTAACAAGGACAATGTGTTGATTCAGCTGAGTACCTGAGAAGACCATGGTGGTTTTGTCAATCAAGCATCAGGAAGAAGCTGGACCTCTCTATGGCTTTTTGTACTCAGAAGACCAGGAATTAATGTCAATGGTCTGGACCTTTGGGTCCCTGAGTCAATTAAGTTTTGAGGATGGTTTCAGT